GCATCATAGGAGCAGAAAGGCTGACGTTTTGGGCCTAGACACTTCTTCAGAAATGGGGGAGGGGAAGGGGGTTCTGAAATAAATAGGGAGAGCGGGGGAGGCGGATAGAAGATGGATAGAGGAGAAGATAGGTGGAGAGGAAACAGACAGGTCGAAGAGGCGGGGATGGAGCCAGTAAAGGTGAGTGTAGGTGGGGAGTTAGGGAGGGGATAGGTCAGTCCAGGGAGGACGGACAGGTCAAGGGGGCGGGATGACGTTAGTAGGTAGGAGATGGGGGTGGGGCTTGAGGTGGGAGGAGGGGATAGGTGGGAGGAAGGACAGGTTAGGGAGGCGGGGACAAGCTGGGCTGGTTTTGGGATGCGGTAGGGGGAGGGGAGATTTTGAAGCTTGTGAAATCCACATTGATACCATTGGGCTGCAGGGTTCCCAAGCGGAATATGAGTTGCTGTTCCTGCAACCTTCGGGTGGCATCGTTGTGGCACTGCAGGAGACCCAGGATGGGAGAAAGCGTCCGTAGAAACCATGAACCTAACCCTCCCTCTACGGACCCCTTCTTCCGCCTCCAGCACACCCCTTCCTCCTGGACACCACCCCAAGGCCTCCTACCCTCCCTCGATCTCTTCATCTCCACCTGCCGTTGTGACATCAATCGCCTCAACCTCTCCCCCGCAGAACGTGCAGCCCTCCGCTCCAATCCCAACCTCACCAACAAACCTGCGGACAAGGGAGGAGCAGTTGTAGTATGGCGCACTGACCTCTACATCGCCGAGGCCAGACGCCAACTCTCCGACACCTCCTCCTACCGCCCCCTTGATCATGACCCCACCCCCGAGCACCAAACCATCATCTCCCAAACCATCCACAACCTCATCACCTCAGGTGACCTCCCACCCACAGCCTCCAACCTCATCGTTCCCCAACCCCGCACCGACCGCTTCTATCTCCTTCCCAAAATCCACAAACCTGAATGCCCTGGTCGACCCATTGTCTCCGCCTGCTCCTGCCCCACCGAACTTATCTCCAACTATCTGGACTCCATTTTCTCCCCCTTGGTCCAGGAACTCCCTACCTACGTCCGTGACACCACCCACGCCCTCCACCTCCTCCAGAACTTCCAATTCCCCGGTCCCCAACCTCATCTTTACCATGGACGTCCAGCCACTATACACCTGCATTCCCCTTACAGATGGCCTAAAGGCCCTCCGCTTCTTCCTGTCCCGCAGGCCCGACAAGTCCCCCTCCACTGACACCCTCATCCGCTTAGCCGAACTCGTCCTCACTCTCAACAACTTCTCTTTCAATTCCTCCCACTTCCTACAGACAAAGCGGGTGGCCATGGGTACCTGCATGGGCCCAAGCTATGCCTGCCTCTTTGTAGGTTACGTGGAACAATCCCTCTTCCGTACCTACACTGGCCCTAAACCCCACCTCTTCCTCCATTACATTGATGGCTGTATCGGCGCCGCCTCGTGCTCCCACGAGGAGCTCGAACAGTTCAACCCTTTCACCAACACCTTCCACCCCAACCTTAAGTTCACCTGGACCATCTCTAATACCTCTGTCTCCTTCCTGGACCTCTCTGTCTCCATCTCAGGCAACCACCTAGAAACCGATATCCATTTCAAGCCCACCGACTCCCACAGGTACCTAGAATACACCTCCTCCCACCCACCTTCCTGCAAAAATGCCATCCCCTATTCCCAATTCCTTCGCCTCCGCCGCATCTGCTCCCAGGATGAGGCATTCCACTCCCGTACATCTCAGATGTCCTCGTTTTTCAAGGACCGCAACTTCCCCCCCTCAGTGGTCGAGAACGCCCTCAACTGTGTCTCCCACATTTCCCGCAACTCATCCCTCACACCCCGTCCCCGCAATAACAACCAAAAAAGAATCCCCCTCGTCCTCACGTACCACCCCACCAACTTCCGGATCCAACGCATCATCCTCTGACACTTCCGCCATCTGCAATCCGACCCCACCACCAAAGACATCTTTCCCTCCCCACCCTTATCTCCTTTCCGGAGGGACCACTCTCTCCTTGACTCCCTTGTCCGCTCCACACTCCCCTCCAGCCCCACCACACCCGGCACTTTTCCCTGCAACCGCAGGAAGTGCTACACCTGCCCCCATACCTCCTCCCTCGCCCCCATACCTCCTCCCTCACCCCCATCCCAGGCCCCAAGAAAACTTTCCACATCAAGCAGATGTTCACCTGCACATCTGCCAATGTGGTATACTGCATCCGCTTTACCCGTTGTGCCTTCCTCTAAATCGGGGAAACCAAGCGGAGGCTCGGGGACCGCTTTGCAGAACACCTATGCTGGGTTCGCACTAAACAACTGCACCTCCCAGTCGCGAACCATTTCAACTCCCTCTCCCATTCCTCAGAAGACATGTCCATCCTGGGCCTCCTGCAGTGCCACAACGATGCCACCCGAAGGTTGCAGGAACAGCAACTCATATTCCGCTTGGGAACCCTGCAGCCCAATGGTATCAATGCGGATTTCACAAGGTTCAAAATCTCCCCTCCCCCCACCGCATCCCAAAACCAGCCCAGCTCGTCCCCGCCTCTCTAACCTGTTCTTCCTCCCACCTATCCCCTCCTCCCACCTCAAGCCGCACCCCCATCTCCTATGTACTAACCTCAACCCGCCCCCTTGACCTGTCCGTCCGCCTTTCATTCAGTTAGCTTCCAATGAGTGTAGGCTTAACTTGCTCGATCTTTCCACAAAAGAAAATTCCTCCATTCCCAACATGATCTGAGTAAAGAGATGACAAAGTGTAGAACTGGATGAACACAGCAGTCTAAGCAGCATCAGAGGAGCAGGAAAGCTGATGTTTCGGGTATGGACCCTTCTTCAGAAACGAGATCTGAGTGAACCTTTTCTGAATCACCACCAATTCAAATTTGTCTTATTTTAAATAATGAGAACAAACCACTATAAGAGTACTGTAAGTGTGGGCTTGCCAGTATCTTGCATCACTGTGGCAAGATTTATCTACTTTTATTGTCCATTCCCTCTTGCAATAAATGAAAATTCCATCTAGCTTCCCCAATTGCCTGGTGTACGTGCATATTAACTTTATATAATTCATATACAGGAGCACCTAAATCCCTTTGTACCCCTTTGTATTACAGTATTCTGCAGTCTCTTGCCATTCAAATAATACAAGGAACCCTGATTTGTAAACATCTGACTTACAAATGCATGTACTTATAAATGTGATACCATACAGTAGTGTAAATATAAAGACTTGACTTACAGACATTTCCTGTACATATATATTTGCCTGCCTCACATTGTCCTACATTGTGTTGCAACTTGCATACAAATTGACTTGCAAACAGACTCCAGAATGGAACCTATTCGCAACCTGGGGACTGCCTGTATTTTTTTTTCAGTCATAGAATCACTATAGCACAGAATGAGGCCATTCAGCCTATTTTGTAAATGCTGGCTCTCTGTAGAGAACACCTGTAAGTACCTAAAATCAGAGGCTAGTTCGAAAGAAACTAAACTACCCCACAGCTCCTCTGACCCCAATTTGAAGAGTGCAGGAAATGTCTTAACTTTATCCCCACAACCAAAAACAGTGTAAAGACAAAAATAAAACTGGAATCCAAGGTAGACAAACAGGAGGCTGGAAGAACACAGCAAGCCAGGCAGCATCTGGAGGAAAGGAGAAGTCAATGTTTCTGGTATTACCCTTCTTCAGGACTTGATGATTGCTTTAACTTTATTGGCTGACCATAGAATCCTGCTATGTATTGCATTTGAAAGTATTCCATTGTTATCAAATGTCCAGAATGAATCTTACCATTTTTTTTAAGATGCACCATAGAAAGCATCCTATGTGGATGCATCACAGCTTGGTATGACAACTGTTCTGCCCAACACTGCAAGAGCTTACAGAGAATTGTTAATGCAGCCCAGTCCGTCACACAAACCAGCCTTCTTTCTGTTGACTCCATCTACACTTCCGGCTGCCTAAGGAACGCTGCTAATATAATCAAAGATCCCTCCCACCTGGTTATACTCTCTTCCACCCTCTTCCATCAGGCAGAAAATACAAACATTTTAATACACATACCAACATATTCAAGAACAGCTTCTTCCCTGCTGATATCAGACTTGTGAATGGACCTCTCATGTGTTAGAGTTGATCTTTCTCTACATCTTCTCTGTAGCTGTAACACTATATTCTGCATTTTGTTCTATTACCCTGATGTACTTATGTAAGGTGTAATTTTTCTGGATAACATGCAAAACAATAGCTTTCATTGCATCTCTGTACATGTGACAATACTAACTCAAATCAAATGCTTCACATGCTGTACTGCTATATAGTTAGGTATGTTTCTTATACTTATATTTTAATTGGAAGTTTTTTTTAAAAAAAGAGAAATCAGAGAACTGTTTATAATTTGAAAGATTTCATATCTAAAGGCTTAAAATATATCTCTAATCCCTATCGATGTTTATCACTCACTATTTTGGTAATATTTTTAAAATGTCAAAAATAAATGTTATCTTTAATATTTCCAGTGGGATTCAATTCTGAAACCCGACAGGATAGCATTTGTTTCACCAATTTGATCAGCTGCACAAATTCACCCTGAACATTGAACGGGTTGATTAGAAAATACCTCCAGAGCTGTTACACATTTCTGGAGTAGATGTAAGGGTATCTTACACTATTGTATGATCACTTGTAAAGTCCTTGTGCCCATGGATACAAACAGCCTGTAAAAAGGTCTGGGTTCATGTCCCAAGTCGGGGTCATACCATAATTGAAGAGGTTGATATACCAACTGTTTGTAAGGTCATCTTTGAGAAGTGTATTCTTCTTAGCTTCAGCAAAAACGTGAATTAAATAAAGTGTAACTTGATGCCCTTTTAAAAAATAATAATTGTAAAGCTAAAGGAATTTTCTTGTTCCTAAATTTCACCAGACCCCATCACCTCCTCAAAGGGGCGGACCAACATCGCCCTAAGTGGAACCTGAGACCTTTCCACACTGATCAGACAGTTCTGGAGAGAACACCCCCCGCCCCCCAGCTCCCGCCGCAAGAAAACAAACCAGGGGTTTTGTTGTGGATTCGATCGAGCCTGGAAAAGGAGCCCGTTGTAAACACGGCTAGCTGCGCTCATGTTCTCTCAGGAGCGACATTCACTAGAAGCGATGCCCTCTCTGTGAATGCACCTGCTGGTCAGAGCCAGGGCTTTTCCTGGTGGCGGTGGGGAGAAAAGTCCCAGACGCGTGCAAACCCCGTCTTTTAGGAATTTCCCAGCATTAGAGGAGGGCAGACGATATGGTTCCTGCTATCCAGCACAGTGTTTTTCTGTACCTGGTGCTCTCCTGCCTTTACCCATCCCATGCAGCGCAGGTAAGGAGCAAGTTCAGTCTTCACTCTTGTATAGAAAAACCGTGAAGCGAGAACAGGAGGGAGATGAGTTTATTTGTGAAAGAAGTGAATAATTTGCAAAGTAAACGATATGCCTTGGGACGCTATTGTTAGTTTCCAGAGTTTACCGCAAGCCCGTTTAAAATTGATTTGTCCAAGAGCGTTGGAACAAATTTTACAGGAAAACACATCTCAGGCGTTGCACGCGTTAAACTATTTGTTTAATGCGTGTTTTAAAGAACGTGTTTGCAAGAGCATTTCCACCAGCTGTTAATGTATGTACATAGAGGAGGAGCTGCTCACAGGGAAAGGTTTAAACATTGCTGGTAGTGGTCGCTGTGCAGCAATGCACTTTGCAGAGATAGTTCTAAATTGGAGAGGAGCTGGCCGGTGAAATGAAAACAAGAGTGTAGGTGCAAGCGTGATAGTTCTTAATGTTCGAGTATACACCACAGCTACAGAAGAGCAAACGGCTGTAGTTCTGATGTGGAGGTGCCTGTGTTAGACTGGGGTGGACAAGGTCAGAAATCACAGGACACCTGGTTATAGTCCAACAGGATTATTTGAAAACACAAGCTTTCGTAACCTCGCTCTTTCTTCAGGTGTTAGTGAGAGAGATGGAATCAGACACAATTTATGTGTAAAAGGTCGAAGGGTGACACTACTGACGAGGATGTATTAAACAACCCTAAGATGCTGTTAAATCTTTAATCAGTTAGAAGGTTTTAATTGATCAGTAAATCCCCAGTTTTCTTTCAAGTCATGGTCCTGAGAGAACTAATGGTTTTATCAGTGTAAAGAAGAGGTGACATTTTAGGTCACACAATGCATGTTAGGTGTGACACCTTGTTTAGAATCTGATTGTGTTTTGGTTTGGAGTCAGACTGGTTTTATTTCTAAAATAGGAAGTTATAAAATGCCACATTGACTGACTGTCTCTGAATTGTGTGCATTTTGAACAAACTAGAATGTATCTGCAAATGCAAATTCACCCCATAGATTTACATGTGTGTTAGAAGGAATGAGGCTCCAAAAGCTTGTGTTTCCAAATAAACCTATTGGACAATAACCTGGTATTGTGTGATTTCTGACCTTGTCCAATCTAGTCTACACATTCTCTCTCTCGCTGTCTCACACACACACTGTCTCTCTCACACACACTCTCCCTCACATGCACTTGGACACACACACACAATCACTCGCTGTCTCTCTCTCTCACACACACACACTGACATCTCAGCTATAGAGTAGCACAGAGCTATTGTGCAGTACACAGCTGTAGTCCAGCACATAGCTATCATGCAGCATAGAGCTATAGTGCAGCGCACAGCTATAGTGAGGCACACAGCTATAGTTCAGTACACAGCTATAGAACCATGCACAGCTATAATACAGCACACAGCCATAATGGGGTACACAGCTATAATACAGCAGACAGCTATAGTGCACTACACAGCTTTAGTGCAGCGCACAGCTATTATGCGGCACACAGCTAAAGTGCAACATGGAGCTGTATTGCAGTACACAGCTATAGTGCAGCTCACAGCTCTAATGCAGCAAACAGCTGTTGTGCAGCACACACAGGATGCAGTTTTACTGCAGCACAGAACTATAGTGCAGTTCATAGCTACAGTGCAGCACAAAGCTATAATGTTGCATACAGCTTTAGAACAGCACACAGCTGTAGTGAGGTACACAGCTATAATATAGCAGACAGCTATAGTGCAATACACAGATTTAGTGCAGTAGACAGCAATAGTGTAGCACAGAGCAATTGTGCAGTACACAGCTGTAGTGCAGTACACAGCTACAGTACAGCACACAGCTAGCTATACTACAGCACATAGCTATAGTGAAGTATATAGGTATACTGCAGCATACAGCTATAATGCTACTTCAACCTATAGTGCAGCACACAGCTATAGTACAGCACAAAGCTATAGTGCAGCATACAGTATAGTGCAAAAGACAGCTATAGTGTAGCACAGACCTATTGTGCAGTATACAGCTATAGTGCAGCACCACAACTGGAGTGAAGTACTCACATATAGTGCAGCATACAGCTAAAGTTCAGTACACAGCTGTTGTGCAGTACACAGTTACATGCACTACACAGCTATACTACAGTACACAGTTATAGTACACAGCTTTAATACAGCACATAGCGATACTGCAGCACACAGCTATAGTACAGCAGACAACAATGATGTGGCCCACAGCTATCGTGCAGGACACAGATATAGTGCAGCACACAACTATAGTGCAGCATACAGCTATATTGCAGCACACAGCTGTAGTGCAGCACACAGCTGTAGTGCAATACACAGCTATAGTGCAGTACATAGCTATAGTGTAGCACAGACCTATTATGCAGTACACACCTATAGTGCAGCATGCAGCTATATTGCAGCATACAACTATAGTACAGTACACAGCTGTCATGCTGACACAGCTATAGTGCAGTGCACAGTTACATTGCATCACACAGCTATAGTATTGTACACAGCTTTAATACAGCCTACAGCTATACTGCAGCAGACAGCTATAGAGCAGCACACAGCTATGGGATGGCCCACAGCTATCGTGCAGAACACAACTATAGTGCAGCATACAGCGTAATGCCTCACACAGCTATAGTGAGGCACACGGCGATGTTGCAGCACACAGCTATAGTGCAGTTCACAGCTATTGTGAAATACACATCCATAGTGCAGCACACAACTGTAATGCAGCACACAGCATAATAACCGCACACAGCTATGTCGCAGCTCACAGCTATAATGCAGCACACAGTTATAGTGCAACACAGTTACAGTGCAGTACACAGCTATAGTGCAGTACACAGCCACAATGCAGTACACAGCTGTAGTGCAGCACACAGTTATAGTGGAGTACATAGCCATAGTGCAGTACACAGCTATAGTGCAGCACACAGCTATAATGCAGCAGACAGCTATAGTGCAGCACACAGCTATAATGCAGCATATAGCGTAATACCACACACAGCTATGTCGCAGATCATAGCTATAGTGCAGTGCATATCTAAATTTCAGGTCACAGCTGTATTGCAGTACACAGTTATCGTGCAGTATACAGCCATAGTGTAGCACACAGCTATAGTGCTGCACACAGCTATAGTGCAGCACCATAACTAGAATGAATTACTCACATATAGTGCAGCATACAGCTAAAGTACAGTACACAGCTGTTGTGCAGTACACAGTTACATGCAGTACACAGCTATACGACAGTACACAGTTATAGTACACAGCTTTAATACAGCACATAGCGATACTGTAGCACACAGCTATAGTACAGCAGACAACAATGATGTGGCCCACAGCTATCGTGCAGGACACAGATATAGTGCAGCACACAACTGTAGTGCAATATACAGCTATATTGCAGCACACAGCTGTAGTGCAGTACACAGCTATAGTGCAGTACATAGCTATAGTGTAGCACAGACCTATTATGCAGTACACACCTATAGTGCAGCATGCAGCTATGTTGCAGCATACAACTATAGTACAGTACACAGCTGTCATGCTGACACAGCTATAGTGCAGTGCACAGTTACATTGCATCACACAGCTATAGTATAGTACACAGCTTTAATACAGCATACAGCTATACTGCAGCAGTCAGCTATAGAGCAGCACACAGCTATGGGATGGCCCACAGCTATCGTGCAGAACACAACTGTAGTGCAGCACACAACTGTAGTGCAGCATACAACGTAATGCCTCACACAGCTATAGTGAGGCACACGGCGATGTTGCAGCACACAGCTATAGTGCAGTTCACAGCTGTTGTGAAATACACATCCATAGTGCAGCACACAACTGTAATGTGGCACACAGCATAATACCGCACACAGCTGTGTCGCAGCTCACAGCTATAATGCAGCACACAGCTATAGTGCAACACAGTTACAGTGCAGTACACAGCCACAATGCAGTACACAGCTGTAGTGCAGCACACAGCTATAGTGCAGCACACAGTTATAGTGGAGTGCATAGCCATAGTGCAGTATACAACTATAATGCAGCAGAGAGTTATAGTGCAGTACACAGCTGTCGTGCAGCACACAGCTATAATGCAGCACGTAGCTACAGTGCAGCACACAGCCATAGTGCAGCACACAGTCAGAGTGCATAACACACCAATAGTGCAGTACACAGCTATAATACAGCACACAGCTATAGTGCAGTACACAACCATAGTGCAGTATCCAGCTATAGTGCAGCTCACAGCTAAAGTGCAGCACGCAGCTATAGTGCAGCACGCAGCTATAGTGCAGCACGCAGCTATAATCCAGAAGGATGGTTGAAGTCAACGGTGGCACATAGGTAGATGGTTGTTGATGTTGGAGGTCAGTCATCTCAGCTCTAGGGCATGTCTGCAGGAGTTTCTCAAGGTCATGTCCTTGGCTGAAACATCTGCTGCTGCTGCATCAATTACCTACCTTCCATCATCAGGTTAGACGTCAGGATGTTTGTCGATGATTGCACAATGTTCAGAACCATTTGCAACATCTCAGATATTGAAGCAGCCCATGTTCAAGATTTGGACAATATCCAGCCTTGGACTGTAAAGTATCAAGTTACAATTGTGTTACGCAAAAGGCAGGAAATTACCGTCTCCAATAAAAGACAATCTAATCACTGCCCCTTGACATTCAATGGCATTACCATCACTGAATCTCCACCATCAACATCCTGGGGGTTACCGTTGACCAGAAACTTAACCAGACTCATCACGTAAACACAGCGGCTACAAGAGCAGGTCAGAGGCTAGGAATACTGTGGTGAGTAACTCACCTCCTGACTCCCCAAAGCCTGTGTGCCACCATCTACAAGGCACAAGCCAAGAGTGGAATGGAATACTCCCCACTTGCCTGGATGGGTGCAACTCGAACAACACTCAAGAAGCTTGACACCATCCAGAAATCAGTAGCGTTTGATTGGCACCACATCCACAAGCATTCACGCCCTCCACCACCACCACTCAGTAATAGCAGTGTGTGCTATCTACAAATATACAACCACTTCCATTTAGAAGGACAAGGGCAGAAGATATATGGGAACATCACCACCAGCAAGTTTAAGTCCGTCACCATCCTGACTTAGAAATATTTTGCCGTTCCTTTACTGTCTCTGGGTCAAAATCCTGAAATCCCTCCTTAAGGGCATTACGGGTCTACATACAGCATGTAGACTTCAGCAGTTCAAGAAAGCAGCTCACTATCGCCTTCTCAAGGGCAACTAGGGATGAGTAATAAACGCTGTCCAGCCAGAGATGCCCATGCCTTACGAGTGAGTTAAAAAAGGACACCGCTATATGGCAGCACACAGCTGTATAGCAGCACATCTCTGTTACACCATAGCAGCTGTAAAACAGTAAAAAGCCTACATCAATTCAGCAGTACAAAACCTGTTGTACAATTCACAGCTGTAATACAGCTCACAGCCGTAACACAGTTCACAGCTAAATCACAATAAACAGTTGCAATAAGCACACAGATGTAATGCAATTTTAAAAAAAAACATGGGATGTGGACATTGCTGGTTGGGACAGCATTTATTGCCCATCCCTAGTTGTCCTTGAGAAGATGGTGGTGACCTGTCTTCCAGTTCACAATTATAATGTTATTATGCAGGGAAAGGACTTAATGAATATATGGATGAGCCCCTGAGGTATGCATTATTGTAACTGTCACCTCAGTCATCATCTTACAGTACTCTGCTAGAAAGGTTGGAACAAGTGCAGCTCAAGTCATAGAGTTCTGTTGCCTTATCATTGTGTACATATCCTTAATAAACAATGTTTAAAAAAAAAAGTCTGGGGTGAGCTTGTATGAAGAATGGAAAAACCCATACTAATACACAATAATAAAACAACTCACATCACATATAGTAATAACTGTAGTGCAGCACACAGCTAGAATATAACATTAGCTGGCGTACAGATATACTGTCCACATCATTAATACAACATACAACATGCAGGTATAGTGCAAAGCAGCTCTAGAATAAAACACACATCTCTGATGCAGCATGCAGTTATAGAAGAGTGCAGATTTAGAATACAGAACACAGCTATAGAATAACACAGCTGCAGTCCAACAGACAGGTATGATACAGTAATGTCCCCATTACTTCAACGAAATAACTCCCATCATACTGCAGGGGTCAGGAAGGGAAGTGCAGATTAAAAGTTTCCCATAGAATAAATAGACCTGCTCTGCTCCTGATCCTCATGAAGGTTTGTTGGGCTTAGCCCAAACGATACAGTAGATGGAGTGTAGTTGTAGTATGCTTTATTTATTTGAACAATTCTAGAGTTTCAAAGTTGTTCCATCTAATAACAATCTGATACATTTTGCTGACATGACTGAACAGTTAACGTCAGGATTAAGTCCTGATTCACTTCTATTTTTATTGTGTAGGGTTGCCTGAACAAACAGAAAGTCCTAACTGTCATCCGACAAATGCAACAGTTCTTAAAAGGACAAGAAACACATTTTACTGATGGAATTCGAACCATGAAAGCCAAGCTTTCAGCCTTACAGATCTCTGTGACCAAACTGACAGCAGACCAACCCTCAGGTATGTTAACATCAGACCCATATCAGCAGAAACCTGTTATTTCCAAACACTTGACTATAAAAAAAAACTGAAAGAACTGTGGATGTTGGAAATCAGAAACAAAACCAGAAATTGCTGGAACAGGTCAGCAGGTCTGGTAGCATCTGTGCAGAGAAATCTGAGTCAATGTTTCTGACCCCTCTTCAGAACACTGGACTATAAACGTTGGCTATAAAGTTGTGCTATCTCCTTACCTACTGATAAGGTATGTTAAGTAATAGATCCTCTGTGCAAATCTGAGCAGGCATCCTTGGTTGCTACCCCAAGGAAGGCGAATGAAATAAAGCCTAGAAAAGTTGAGTGAATGTGTCTTATGAGAAGCCTTGTGCAAAGGGTTCTGAGGACAAGGGAGTTGGGAGCTGCCTCATTAATTTTGTGGAAACTTTAAGCCAACGGCTGTTGACATCCGAGCAGCCTGAACAAGTGGTATTTCAAAGTGGGCAGGGTCAATCTTTACCACCTCCTGAATGAACTTGATCATGGAATGCAGGCGTCAGTGGCAAAACCTATTGGTTGCCTGGAATAACTTGTAGGCCAGACTGAGTAAAAGAGGCAGATCTCCTTCCAGAACAGGTACTAGTGAACCAGATGGGTTCTTAACAACAATAAATCAAGTCTGATGGTCACCATTACTGAGATTAGATCTCAAATTTCTGATTTATTAATTGAATTTCATCTGCTACCACAGTGGCATTCAAACCCATGTCCTCGGACCATTAGTCTGGGCTCTGAATTGCTCATCCAATTAGATTACCATCTCCCAACAGCCTTTAAAGCTGGGGTCTATAAAGCTCTGGTGGAGCAAGCTAGTTGTAAAGCAATTTATAGATTCAAAATTCTGTAACCACTGTCATACTGGGCCTATCTCTTTTAACTTCATTTGATATGAAATACCTTAACCCCTAAACATCCTTGAGAAGTGATAGGACAAGGACAAAGGGCAGTGCATTGGAGAGAAGGCTGCTAAGCAAAGATGAGCTACATCCTCTTCCTTAACCAGCATCATCCTTCATTCATCAGGCTCATGTGTCCAGTAAACTGAGTTCTTAGGAGGAGATTTTTTAAAAAATATTCATTCGTAGTGTGTGGACATCATTGGCTGGGCCAGCAATTATCGCCCATCCCTCATTGCTGTATGGGTTGCTCGGCATTGCAAAGGGCAGGTAAAAGTCTTCTACATTCTGTGGGTCTGGACTTTCTTGTAGGTCAGACAACAGTAAGAAGGGCAGATTTCCTTCCCAAAAGGGTATTAGAGAGCCAGATGGGTGTTTACAACCTCTCTGCTCCTATGATGCTGCTTGGCCTGCTGTGTTCATCCAGCCCTGCACCTTGTTGTCTCAGTCAACAATAGCTACCTGCTTGTCATTTCACTGGCTTTTAATTCCAAATTTTATACATCAAATACAAAAGTCACCATGCTGGAATTAAAATTTATGCCCCAAAACATTAGTCTAGGGTTCTGCATGACTAGCCCAGTGACTTTACAACCATACCACCTCCTCCCCCAGGTATTCTGAAGCAAATAGTTAAGAGTGCTCAATATTAACACCATCTCAAGTTTCATTTCTCCACTAAAACTGAACCAAAGTTCATGGCATGGGAATGCTGTCTCTGTCTCAGTCTGTCGTAGGATTTGAGAACATCCAAAACTCAGTACAATAAACATAAAAAGTTTGTTCAAAAGTATCAATAAACTGAAGACAGTGTAGAGAAAAATGTTAAAAGCAATTTGGCTCAGGTACTTGCAGTAATAGCTGCAGTTTAACGTCTGAATTAACACAAAGTCTTCATGGATTTATAGCTCAATAGTTCATATGCATTTTACATCTTACTTATTATTGTGCCAAATTACAAAGTAGTTGCATAAAAATCTATCAGTTGTATTGTTATAGAGTCATGGTGCATTTTTACATTTCAACACGATCTAATGTACAAGATGTCAAATGACTGGTTCTTATCAGTATGGACATACTGGAGATTAGAGGCTGGAGGCTGGAGTTTCTTTTGCTTTTCTCTTCATTTATGTGCCAGGATAACAACATAAAAGTGGCAAAATCAGTGGTAAATCTTGGTACTGTGATTCTGCATAGAGCCAAATTTATGACTCATTGTCTCCACCCCGCTACCCATCGCGCTTTTCGACCTACTCCATGTAAATGAGAGCCTACATCCCAGGCTTGGAGTTGCCAGTGAATTTTCCTACCACCATCCCATTACAGACACTTCCTGGGATCATTTGGTGACAGTGTTCGTAGGCTTGGAGTAGCTGTGAAATAGGTCAATGGTGCATCGATTACCTTATTTAATCTGAGATGCAATAGAAGGAAAAGGCTGAAGCCAAGTGCAAAATTTACCTTTTTGGACATCATTTCTGCTGAGTGTGTTTTTTCCTCCTTAGGTAGAGTGATATAACTTCTGATGCTTCAGCACCCTCACATCTTCATGCTGCTAATGGTTTGCTTTTGCTGGCTCTATTGTGTTGAGGATGCATGTATCGTTATTCCCCTTAAGCAATTTTTGTAAAACAAATGGGTAAAGCAGCCTTAGGATATAGGGTCCTTCGATGGCCCACCCCATCCACATTCTCCAAAAGAGAGTAGAATCCTATCTGTGGTATCCTGACACCATTTAGATTCAGACCTGAGAATAGGATTGATAGTCAGGTTCCAAAGTTATTGCAGCAGAGGAAATTGTTTGGTGAAGGAAAACATAAGGTGTCGGGGAATGGCAGTCGGAATTCTTGTCCTGCTGCTAAATGTTGCTCCACGCCTGTGGGTAGGATCTTAGCTCAAGTTCCATGGAGATTCACAAGATTTGATACATGTCAGAACTCTCAGATCAAAGGAGATAGCCTTTAGTAAAGAGGTTCTGGCACAGTAATTCAAGGCTTAGACATGATCAGTCAAGTGTTGGGGCACATTGGATCAAAAGAATCCATTTCACAACCAATGGAGATGAAATGGCTGCCATCACACTCAGAGTGGGTGGAGTGAGTGTTTCATTATGTGAGGGAGGGGCTCCAATTTTGAGTAATGTGAGGACCTTCAAAAGGAGATAGCATTAACCAGATACTCAGACAATGCAGGTGAAAATGCGGTATTTGGGCCTTACACGTTGGCCTGGTATATGGTGTACAAATCCAAAAACTCTTGACTACACTATGCAGCATCAGAAATCAATCCCATTTGTGGCTGCAATGCTCAAGCAATGTATTACATCCTAGAAAGATTCCCCCTGGGTTTCAAAGTAACAATCACCTTCCAAGGTCCTGTACCCAGCACATGGTATAGGAGCTGCTCAATCACACCTTGGACTAAAAAACATTGTGTAGCAGTAAGGTTCTGTACCTTCATCCTTGTTGGAGTTAAATCAAAATTGTTCATGCACCTAATGATAAATAGTGAACATGTATTTACCAATTTGAGAATGTACTTACAACAAAGTTTCACCCGTGCCACGTATGTCTCCTTTAAAGGTCTGCAAATATTCCTACCTTAGAAATAAAACGAGTCTGACTCCAAACCAAAACACAAACAGATTCTAAACAAGGCCTCACACCTAACACGCATTTCTGACCTAAAGTGTCACCTGTTCTTTACACTGATAAAACCTTTAGTTCTCTCAGGACCATGACTTGAAAGGAATTTAGGGATTTACATATACATATTGATCAATTAAAACCTTCTAACTGATGGTTTAATACATCCTCATCAATGGTGTGACTTTTTGATCTTTTTACTTACAAATTGTGTCTGATACTGACTTCTCTCACTAACACCTGAAGAAGGACTGAGGCTCCGAAAGCTTGTGTTTTCAAATAATCCTGTTCGACTATAACCTGGTGTCATGTGATTTCTGACCTTGTCCTCTAAAGGCCTAGGTTTCCTTTCCCCATTTCTACTTGGTGAAGTTTCCGGGTCCGCAGCTGGAGTCCATAAGACCATAATTTGTGGGAGCAGAAGTTGGCCATTCATCCCATTGAGCCTGCTCTGCCATTCACTGAGGTCATGGCTGATCTGATAATCCTCAGGTCCACTTTCCTGTCTTTCCCCCATAACCCATATTGATTTAAAATCTCTTTATTTCAGTCTTGAATATACTTAGTGACCCAGCCTCTACAACCTTCTGCGGTAAAGAATTCCACAGATTCACTACCCTCTGAGAGAAGAAATTCCTTCTCATCTCATCTTCACTGGACAACCTCTTATTCTGAGATTCTGCCCTTCGGTCCTAGACTCTCCCAGAAGTGGAAATAGGTAATCCTAATATGACATACAAGTCTCGATTGCAAACTTCTCTCTCTCTCTCTCTGCTTTGTTATAGCAACGTGGTGTCCATCGCTGGAGGCTCCTAAACATGGCAAGAAGTTTGGCTCCAGGTACAGCGCAGACCATGAGGTGCACTTTGTCTGTCAGCCTGGCTACCAGCTCATCGGCTCCAGTACCAGAGTTTGTCAGCCGAATGGGCGCTGGACGGGAGTGAATGCTAGCTGCACAGGTACTCCTGTTTAAAGTTTCATAATGGAATGGCACTGTTCACACCAAAGACTAAAACTCTAATTATTCACTTTAATAGATAACAAAACATTTGGAAAAGTTCAAGCATCCTGAATGAGACACCACTAGATATTAGCTGGAACCAAATCACCACAATAATGAGTTCCTTTAATACATTACACTTTCTCTTTTACTCTTTCTCTGAAATGTTAGAAGCAAACATGAGAACACTTGTTTGCTGGAATGTCAGGGTGTGGTTTCCAATTTTAGAAAAGGGGTCAAGAATAAGAACAGCCTTTTGGTCTCTCAAGTCTGTTCCACCATTCTAATGCCTGATTTGTAACCTAACTCCACGTCATGTTAACTTTTATGTGCTATTACTATTTAAAAGAAGGTGTTAAACTCTCCATTTCCTTTTCTTTTTAACAAAATCAAGTTGAGATGCATTTAGATGTCACCTGCGACACAGCTGTAACACTTTCTGAGTGAGATTGTCCATCCAGGGAGTTGAACATAAAATTTACGCTGACATCTCAGTATGGTACTTGAGGGTGTGCTGCACTGTTAGAGTTCATTTCTTTCAGAGGAAGTGTTAAACCAACGTCCCATCTTTCTTCTCACGACAATGCAAGATCGTATGCACTATTTCAGGGAAGAGCTGCGTAGTTGGCCCTGCTATCCTAACCAAAATTGATTTTGCAACCAACTTAACTAAAAACAGGTTATCTGTCACATATTAGCTGTTCCATGTCCTGCACTATATATTGGTAATGATACTTCCAAAGTACTTCATTGACTGTCAAGCATTTCTGATGTTTTAAAATCCTCATAGTTTCAATATTTTCTTTTATTCATTCAAGGGATGCGGCCATTGTTGGCTAGGCCAGCACTTATTGCCAATCTCTAATTGCTCATTGGGCAGCTAAGAGTCAACCACGTCGCTGTGGGTCTGGAGTGACATGTAGTCAGACCAGGCAAAGATGGCAGATTCCCTTCACTAAAGGATATTAGTTATTTTTTCTGACAATTGACAACAATAGTTGTCATCGTTAGACTCCAAATTCCAGATTTGTTATTGAATTCAAATTCTACCACCTGCCATGGCAGGATTTGAGTAAAAATTATTTGGAAGAAATATCTTCATGCACATACTTTTTAGTGTATGGAACAATTACAATGAGATATCGAAGTCAGTTCAATGCTCATGTCTCAAAAAGAGTCAAATAAACACTTGGGAGTAGTTTCAATAACATCATTTTATTATCCTGTGTATAGGAACATCAGAACAGGAGTAGGCCATTCAGTCCATCGAGCCTGCCCCACCATTCAATATTGATCATATCTGATCAAACCCATCCCCATAACACCAATGGTCATCGGAAATCTATCAGTCTCCAGAAAGATCTCCAACGTGTTGCTAAGTAGTGAGTAATGGTTGGCTGAAACAGTCTTTAGGTATATGTAAATATATAGAAATTTCTACGCAATCAAGTTGCATTTTTGAAGGATTATAATATTTTAAAAAGTGTTGTAAAATACTAAAGGTAAATAAATCTGTTACCAAATCGACCATGTAAGTATGCAGTTGGAAATGAAATAATTGACAATGACTGTGTGTGACACTTGTTTATCAAAGGCATTGATTAAAGTAAATGGGTTAACATCTCCATCACAGTCGTAACATTAAGCGTCTATTCAACATTTGCACATTAATATCATATGAAATAATCTAAAGACTTACACCATTAGGTTGAATTGGGTCAGGAATTGATAATTAATTCTTCATAATTGTACTTGAAGTGATCCCAAATAGGAATTTTCTGAGTTACACCAATACTTAGCCGAAAATGGTTGAAGGACAGACATGTTGGTACCTAGATTCGAAAAGAAGCAATGAATAATGAGTGAGTTTGTGGTGTCTCGTCACACAAAACCAGTCTGATCAAAGTCAGCAGAACGTACTTCCTCTTAAGTGTTTAAAAAAAAAGACAGCATTACATTCCCCATGTGGGAATACCTGCATATCTCTCCCCACCTTAATGATATTTGGTCACACATTCCACTCTAAGCTCCCTATCTTTCCCATCAAGCAGCCTTTGCCAATGTGAAGCGGCCTGTGCTTACTTGCCCTGGTAACCCAGCCATGCTGCAGCTGCCAGGGGTGATGCATTTTGGAGGTCAAGGATGCATTTAGTTAATGGTCTCAGACATTTCATTAAATAATTTCATGGTCTAATGGTCAGGAGATATTTCAGGCATGCTATTGATAGCCAGCAGCAGCACCTAGTTCTGATGGAGTTAGTTCTCTGTGATGTTGCACTGGCTGGCTGTAATGTAATGTAAGCGAGCTCTGTGAGTCAGGCCATACAGGGCATGGCTCTTTTTGTCCTGTTTGAATGAAGGAAATTGTGGAACCGACGCTATTGTGATTGAAGTCCCTTAAGGAGTGTTAGAGGCAGTGTTACAAGATCACGCATGGATAAAGATGAAGGAGATCATTCTGCTTACTTGGTCTAATTCTTCCACAATAAATAGGAAAAGGAGGTGGTTGTTTAGCCCCTCAGAGTCTGTTCTGCCATTCGGTTAGTTCACAGCTAATTTATACCTTGCTTCCTTTACCCACATTGGTGAAATTTTTAATAAATCCCCGGCCTCTGAGGCTTTTGGGAAAACACATTGCAGATTTGCAGTATGTGTGAAGAAGTGCTTTTTGACATTAGTCCTGAAGAGTTTGGTGTAATTTTAGTTTAAGCTCATGGCCCCTTATTAAGGACTTCTCCACCAGAGGAAATAGTTTCTCATTATTGTCGTTTCAAATCATTGAAATGTCTTAATCACCTCAAATAGATCATACCTCATTCTTCTACGCGAAAAGGTATACAAAGCTAATCTATGCACCTTATTGTCACATGTAACCTTTATTAGTCTCAGTATCATTCCAATGTGTATGGGCTGCACATCCTTCTCCCCCTCTCCCCTCCAATTGCCCCAACACAGAATCAGTGCATCCACTCTGAGGGGCATGACCAAGGACTGGATAGGCTGAGATGTTTCTTCACTGGAGCGTAGAAGGTTGAGAAGTGACCTTGTAGAGTTTTATAAAATCATGACGGGTATAGATGAGGCGAACGGCACATGTCTTTTCCCTAGGGTGGAGGATTTCAAGACTACAGCCATATTTTTAAGGTGAGAGGAGAAAGATTTTAGAAAGACACGAGGGGCAGTTTTTTCATACAGAGTGGTTCATGTGCGAAATGAGCTTCCAGAGGTAGTGGCAGATGCAGGTACAGTTAAAAGATGTTTAGATAAGTACATGACTAAGAAATTTTTGGAGAGATATGGGCTAAGCACAGGCAGGTGGGACTAGCTTCATTTGGGATTATGGTTGGCGTAGAATGGTTGGACTAAAGGGTCTGTTTCCGTGCTATATGACTATGACTGAATGCCAGGCTTAGTATTCAGTTTAACCAGAGCTTTGTACAGCCGTAATGTAATTTGATCAACACAATACAAGCCCCACCATCTCCTTTTCCTCAATGCACCCGCTATTGTGAACTTTCTTAGAAATTGTTCCACTTATTCACCACCCTATTTTTGTTTTACTTGTGGGATGTGGGCGTCACTCGCCAGGCCAGTATTTATTGCCCATCTTTAGTTGCCCTTAAGAAGGTGATGGTTGAACTGCTGCAGTCATGTGCTGTAGGCAGACCCAAAATGCCATTAGGGAGGAAATTCCAGGATGTTGGCACAGTGACACCGAAGGAACAGTGATATATTTCTCAGTAAGGAGGGGAACTTGCAGGTGATGGGAGTTCCTATAAACATAGAAGATAGGATCAGGAGGAGGCTATTCGGCCCTTCAAGCCTGCTCCGCCATTCATCACAATCATGGCTGATCATCCAACTCAATAACCTAATCCTGCTTTCTCCCCATAACTTTTGATCCCATTCACTCCAAGTGCTATATCTAGCTGCCTCTTGAATACATTCAATTTTTGGCATCAACTGCTTCCTGTGGTAATGAATTCCATAAGCTCACCACTCTTTGGATGAAGAAATGCCTCCTCATCTCCGTCCTAAACGGTCTACTCCGAATCCTCATACTGTGACCCCTGGTTCTGGACACACCCACCATCGGGAACATCCTCCCTGCATCAACCCTGTCCAGTCCTGTTAGAATTTTATAAGTCTCTATGAGATCCCCCCTCATTCGTCTGAACTGTAGTGAAAACAATCCCAACCTAGTCAATCTCTCCTCAACTGTCAGACCCGTCATCCCCGGAATCAGCCTGGTAAACCTTTGCTGCACTCTCTTAAGAGCAAGAGCATCCGTCCTCAGAAAAGGAGACCAAAACTGCACACAATACTCCAGGTGTGGCCTCACCAAGGCCCTGTATAACTGCAACAACACATCCCTGTTCCTGTACTCAAAACCTCTCACAATGAAGGCCAACATACCATTTGCCTTCTTTACCACCTGCTGCACCTGCATGCTTACCTTCAGCGACTGGTGTACAAGGACACCCAGGTGCCACTGCACACTTCACTCTCCCAATTTACAGCCATTCAGGTAGTAACCTGCCTTCTTGTTTTTGCTTCTGAAGTGAATAATCTCACATTTATCCAAATTATACTGTATCTGACGTTGATTTGCCCACTCACCCAACCTGTCGAGATCATGCTGAAGGATCTCTGCATCCTCGTCACAGTTCACCAACAACCCGCACCCCTGCCCACCCAACTTGGTGTCACCTGCAAATTTAGAAATGTTACATATTGTTCCCTCATCCAAATCATTCATATATATTGTGAATAGCTGGTGCCCCAGCATTGATCTCTGTGGCACCCCACTAGTTACTGCCTGCCAATTTGTAAAGGACCCATTAATTCCTACGTTTTGTTGCCTCTCTGCGAACCAGTTTCCTATCCATTTCAATACACTTGCCCCAATCCCAAGTGCTTTAATCTTGCAAAATAATCTCTTATGCGGGACTTTGTCAA